AATATACCAGAGCAAAGTGGGTGATTATATGGCAGTTTATTCAGATCAACTTTCTCTAAGTCATTCCCCAATCTCTTTCATAGATGTTTCTTGTCCTCCGAACTTGCGTTTGCTACAGCCTAAAACTTTTGTTAGTAAAATAAGACCAAAAAATATAGAATCATAAGAAAAAATAAACATATATGAGCTACATTCCTCTTTAACATATTTAAATTTTCTTCTGTGTCATCGATCCAAGATTCTATATCCACATTCTGTAATATTTATGTAATATTGGCTTAATATTATAAACCAAACTGATACTGAAACATCTGCTGATTATACATACTAAGGCATTCAACTTTAAAAGTGAGACTATATCTTCAACTGTAGTCATTACCTAAAACCAAGTTTAAAAAATATGTTGTCTGAAGCTACTACATCTGAGTCTTGATGCGTGTACAGCTATTACTGATAGATGCATTAGTGAAATAGCACAATCTTGTCCAAATTTAAAATACATAAGTCTCGCTTCTTTGTATAGAGATAGTAACATTTTCAGTGCATCTGTGATTGAAATGGCATGATCTTGTTCTAATCTAGTATATTTAAATCTCAATGGACAACCTTCTATTAATGATGAATCAATTTGTGCAATTGCACGCTCATATGTAAATCTTCAACACCTGGATTTGTCATTCAATGAAATAATTATGGATAAAGCTATATGCGCGATTGCAACTGGCTATCCAGATATGCGAAATTATTTTCTCGAAGGCTGTGAACGGATTACTGACAAATCAATCAAAAAAATTGCAGATTTAAATAAAAACCTACAAAATATTAGTCTTATTTCATGTTATAAAATTACAGATGATGCTATATATAATATAGTTCATTTATATTCAAACATTCAAAATCTTAGTTTTTAATATATTTATATTACTGATAAAATGATATATAAAATTGCACACCACTGTTCTAATTTACTAGTTCTCAATGCAAAGAAATGTCTGTTTATTTCTGATAAATCAATTTACTTTCTATTAAGCAAAAAACTGGCACTAGAGCTAATATTAGATTGGGTTCTGTGATTCATATAGGCTAGGATAAAATCATGTTATATGGTTAGTTTAATAATCAAATATTTTTTAGTTAAAATTTTATTCTATTAATATAAATACATCCTACTCACCACTTCTTATATAATTGAGAAGATACATGTATCTAGCCTACTTAGTATTTAAATTGAGGTAGATGTTTTCAGTATTTTATTCACTACTATTCTCCAATGAAATAGCTATCAGTATCTAGCCTAATTGAGGTTGAAGTAGATGTTGAAAAATAAATAAATTCTATTTGTACTGAGAGAAATTTTTGTACTATGTAAAACAACTATATATAAAAATCAAAGTAAAAAATATTACTAGCTTTTTTTTAAGAAAGATAACGAAATAAATTTTATTTTCAATAGATATATATGAATATATAGATATGTGTATTGTGAAGTTATAGATTGATAATTTGATGTATTTCTCTATGAACTGTCTATAATAATTTATTTGATTTTAATAAATGGTGAGTATTTATTATCAATATATAATTCAGGATTTTGTATCTACTTTAACATTACATACCATTGCTTACTATTAATTACTCTGTATCCTTGTTGTCCTAATAAATTTAAAACATGGTTATATAATCTTTTTTGTAATTGATATTTCTTAGCATCTGCCCAACTTTTAGAACTA